CCAATTGGCCGCAATGGCTGGAGCTGCGCTGATCCAAAGGCAGGAGCCAGGAGCCTCTTCCAGGTCTCCCATGCAGGTGCAGGGTCCCAAGGACTTGGGCTATCCTCCACTGCTTTCCCAGGCCATAGCAGAGAGCTGAATCAGAAGAGGAGCAGCCGGGACTAGAACTGGTGGCCATATGGGATGCCGGTGCTTCAGGCCAGGGCTTTAACACACTGCGCCACAGCGCCAGCCCCTCAGATTTCTTTCATATCTTTCTGATTTTCTTTTTCTTATCTCAAGTTTTTAATATCCACAAAAGCTTTACACAATTTAACTCATGTTTTTGTGTTACTAATTTCCTATGCATCACAGTTTCTTTTGTTTGTTTATTTGTGTTAAATAGGGAAATATGGAGAGTTTTCAAAGGCTGAAATATAATTCAAATCTTTCTTTTCTTCTTATAATATCTGTACATAGATAACGTTGTCATTTTCTGTTCATTTGAAAGCATATGTTCTGCTGAACCTACTATAACAATGTTATGTAAGTTTGGGAATTTCTGGTAGTTTGCTACACTTAGCTCAAGAACTTTTTGAAATAGAGAAAAATTATTTTTAAAAATAGACTACTATTGATAGCATCTTCATCTAGGGAAGAGAGACTATATTGGTGTATATTATTTTTTAAAATTTATTTATTTGATACATAGTGTTGGAGCTGGGGGAGAGAGAGGGAGGGTGGGATGGAGGGAGGGAAGAAGGGAGAGAGGAGAAAATCTTACATTGACATGTTCATTCTCGCAAACGTCTACAATATGCAGGGCTGAGCCAGGGCAAAGCCAGGAACCAGGAATTCCATATGGGTCCTATACATGGGGACTATCAAATACTTGGGCCATCTTCTGCCACCTTCGCAGGAGCATTTGCAGGAAGTTGGATTGGAAGCAGCACTCCCATAGCGAATGTCCTTGTTTTATTTTAATGACAGCTGGAAATATACATACAACTGCATTAGGGAGGTGAATAATCAAACATAATATACTGCCCAATTTGCAGGGAAAACAATGGCATTTAGGCAATGTGGAGAATAGATTGTGAAAGCATAGTCCAGGATAAGACACACAAGTATTTCCAAATTAGTGCAAAGTTGTTTCCATCTCTCTAGCAAAAAAAAAAAAAAAAAATTTCCATCTCTCTAATGTTCATTGGAAAATAATAAATAATTAGCCACTAAATTATCCATGAGTATATAACACAAGCATGTATTATATCACTCCCCTCATTTTTTATGAACTCAGAAATATTATATTCCTTGATTCTAAAGCTAAGTTAAAGGACTCATGAACAAACAACAGGAAACTTTTTGACAATAGAGATGTTAGCTCCTTACCAAATAGAGCTGATTCTATAATAGCTTACTAATGAACCCACAATCTATACTATGTCATGTGATATTCTAGATCATGGCAGTCCTGCCTGAAACAAAATGTTTCCCTTAGCTCATAGGTATTTTGATTTGAATAATGAAATATCAAAAAAAAGTCCTAATTTATATGAAAATCCTAATGAAACTACAGAAAACATTAAAAACCAAGTATTTCTTAATCTATTTCAATTTTCAAATACTTATACACTGCATGCCCCCCTCCACACACCCACTTATTGAATGTCCAAAGAAAGGGTACATAATATTGGAAGTCCTAGCCAAAGCAATCAAGTGAGAGGAAGAAATAAACAACATCCAAATTGGAAAAGAAGTTAAAATGTCATTATGTACAGTTGATTTGATCTTACATAGAGAAAACCCCAAAGACTCTTCCTATAAAACTCTTAAAACTAGTAAATGAATTCAGCAAAGTAAGGGATACAGAGTCAATGTACAAAAATTAGTAAAGAAATCAAGAAAATGCTATTTCCAATGCTACCAAGTATTTCCTGGAATAATTGTAACCAAAGATATGATATCTCTAAGGTGAAAACTATAAACTATTAAAGAAATTAAAAAGTACTCAAAGAAATGGAGAAACATTAATTGATTCTTCTAACTCATGAACAAAATTATTAAAATGTCCATAGTATGTACCTAAAGCAATATACTGATTCAATTGCAATCTCTATCAAAATAGCAATGACGTTTTTCATAGAACTAGAAAACATCCTAAAATTAATATGAAACCACAAAACAATCTTGAGCAAAAATAAAAAGCAAGAGACATTATACTACTTGACTTCAAAATATCCCATAAAACTAATTAAAATAAAATGCAATTGGCATAAAAACATAAACATAGGCAATGGAACATAAGAGAGAGCTTGAAAATAAAACCAGGCACCCACACTCAGTGGATCTTTGAAAAAGGGGCTAAGAATGATCATTGGAAAAAGAGTTATCTTTTAAATAAATTGTACTTAAAGCTATATATAGAACTATGGAATTATAAATATATTGGGTATGTTTTCTGAGAACATGCAATATGTCAGATGTTGGGTTCTTTGCTTTCGATTTATTGTTTCATTTAGTCTTCAGTACTTTCAGTGAGTTAACATGGTTTCTAAGAATAGAAAAGAAATGCTAAGACTTGCATCTAAAAAGTTCCTATCAACAAAGTATATCTATGTACTTTTAACTTTAACACAATTAGGAAATTATCTTTTTACTGAGATGTAAAATGTACCAGAGTCAAAAGTAGATGTTCCTTACATATATCTTTTTATCATAATATACATGGATTACTCAGCTTAAGACTATCTGAAAGGGTGAAATAAAAACTAAAGACATAGGAGTATCTGAGCACCTGAAAAAGACAACCTTTCAAAGTCTTTATCTATAGAATTCGCTATTAATTTTTCCATTCTTGAACACGCCTCCTGAAAGCTGTCCACAAAAATAAATACCTGTGTTATATTTGATCCCTCTCTTCTGTGTCATAGGTTGAGTTATTCAGAGCAGAGGAGGAGGAAAAAAGAATCATGCCTAATACTTTATCTCTTTTTCCCTTTTAGTATTTTTTTGTTCTAGTACTATTGGTTGAACTCTAATTAACACACAATTATTATTAGGTGTTTAAATTTAACTGAAAAGTGATCCCTGTTAAATATAAGAGTAGGAATAAGAGAGGGAGGAGATGTACAATTTGGGACGTGCTCAATCGGACTTGCCCCAAATGGTGGAGTTAGAAATGTGCCAGGGGATTCCAATACAATCCCATCAAGGTTGCATGTACCAATGCCATCTCACTAGTCCCAGTGATCAATTTCTATTCACAATTGATCACACTGATAGGTCTAAGAGTCAAAGGGATCACACAAACAAGATTAGTGTCTGCTAATACTAGCTGATAGAATCAAAAAGGGAGAGAACGATCCAACATGGGAAGAGGGATACACAGCAGACTCATAGAATGGCAGATGTCCTAAAAAGCACTCTGGCCTCAGAATCAGCCCTTAAGGCATTCGGATCTGGCTGAAGAGCCCATGAGAGTATTCTAGGAATGGAAAGCCAAGACACTCTGGAAAAAAAAAAAGAAGAAGAAGAAGAAGACCTAAATGAAAGATATCTGCAAGTGAGATCCCAGTGGAAAGAACGGGGCCATCAAAGAAGGAGGTACCTTTCTCTGAAGGGAGGAGAGAACTTCCACTTTGGCTATGACCCTGTCAGAATAAGATCGAAGTCAGCGAACTCAAAAGGCTTCCATAGCCTTGGCAACTCATGACTAGAGCCTAGGGAGATTACTGACACCATAAACAAGAGTGTCAAATTATTAAGTCAACAACAGGGTCACTGTTTACTTACTTCTCATGTGGGATCTGTCCTTAATGTGTTGTTCAATGTGAAGTAATGCTATAACCAGTACTGAAACAGTATTTTACATTTTGTGTTTCTGTGTGGGTGCAAACTGATGAAATCTGTACTTAATATATACTAAATCAATCTTCTGTATATAAAGATAACTGAAAATGAATCTTGATGTGAATGGAATGGGAGAGAGAGCAGGAGATGGGAGAGGTGCCAGTGGGAGGGAAGTTAATGTGGGGAGAAAGCCATTGTAGTCCATAAACTGTAATTTGGAAATTTATATTTACTAAATAAAAGTTTAAAAAAAAGAACCATGCCAAAAAGCAAATTTACATTGGCTTGGCTTCTGTTACTTAAAAACAAAAAGCTGATACATGAAATCCGTTCTCCTTATTTTAATAAAAACTTTTCTAAAAGCTGATAATTAGGGGTTGGCGCTGTGACATAGTAGTTAAACCTCTGTCTATGGCGCTATCATTCCCATTTGGGTACCAGTTCACTCTCAGCTGCTCCACTTCTGATCCAGCTATCTGATAATAGCCTGGGGAAGCAATGGAGGATGGCCCAAGTACATCTCCAAGTGGGAGACCTGAGAGTCATTCTCATAATCACATCTGGGTAACTGGTTTTCCTTGCAGCAGGTTTCTCTTTCCAAATTAATGTGCTGTAACATGGCCACCTTCATCAGTCCCAAGCTTACATCTCTTCAGATATAGAGGTACAACTATCAGCAGTCAATTATTACTAGACAAACTCAAGGTGTATGCACATGATCCAAATCAGAGATATTCATCAATGACTTATATACTGATAGCTTCTTCCATATAAACACATGAAGAGAGGAACAATTCTAAGAAAATCAGTCAGGTATATGAAGGGGTAGGAAAGAACCAAACAGTTGGTTTCTCTAACAGAGGGATTGTTGAAATGTTAGGTTAGAAATGTGAGTCAGAAGCTAGAAAATTTCCTACTCTATATTATTTGCCTGAACTTATCTCTGATTCAGGTACTACATCAAAACCATTAAAAATATTACAAAATCAAACTCAGAATCATTTCATCATCATTCTTTGTAGAAATTGAGAAGTTAAGCAAGGATACCCTGCATAAGTTCATATTAAGTTTCATATAATGCCAGATGAACCAGTCCAGCTATATGGATGTATGGTGTCTTTGAAGTTGTCTGGAAGGCTCAATGTTTAAGGTCTAGACAGATTTTGTGCTCAGGAACCATGATTGGAGTGCTCAAACAGACAGAACATGAGCAAATTCCTAATTCTCTCCCGGATTTGTTTGGTTCTCATGCCATAGATGATGGGATTTAAGGTGGGTGGGAAGACCAGGTACAAGTCTGCTAATAGTACTTGGGTGTGCAAGGGAACTGTGTCATGTCCTAGCCAGACAACATACAGGGATACCATCCCAGGTAGATAGTACAGAGCCATAACCCCTACATGGGAGCCACATGTGCTTAATGCTTTCAACCGAGCATTCTTTGAAGACAGACCAAATACTGCCCTGAGAATTGACACGTAGGACACAGCAATAAAGGCCACATCACAGCCCACAATAATAGAGGAACCAGTGAGACTATAGAGACTGCTGGGCATGGGGTCAGCACATGCTAATTTAACCACAGCCATGTGCTCACAGTAGGAATGGAGAACCACATTGGAACCACAGAAAGGCAGACGACTCACCATCCAACTCAGTGGAGTCATGAACAGAATAGCCCTGATGGTGATGGCCACAGTCATACCCAAGATCACTTGAGGGGTGAGAATTCTCTTGTAGTGTAGAGGCTTGCAGATGGCTACATAGCAGTCAAAAGCCATGGCCAGCAGCAGCCCTGTCTCCACAGCTGTGGCTCCATGGACAAAGTACATCTGAGTGAAACAAGCATTAAAGCTGATGGAGCTGTCTCCTGAGCAGAAGATGCTCACCATCTTGGGTACCACAGAGGAGGCCATAACAATGTCCACAGCAGCCAGAATGCACAGGAAGCAATACATGGGCTCTTGTAGAGTGGAATCCATCCAGATTACAGTCATGATGAGGGTGTTTCCTGCCAGGGCTATGGTGTACATGGGAGTCAGTGAGATGGCCAGCCAAAGATGTGAAGACTGCAAACCTGGAATCCCCACAAGGAAGAAGGTGGCAGGGGTTCCCATTGTGTAGTTGGAGGATGGCCCCAGCATCCCAGCTGAGATTGATTGCCTGTTAATACATCAAGCGATATCAGAAAAGTATACAATTCTATAAAATCTGTTCCCATTATAGCCTTGCCAAAGGCTGGTGAAATGTTTAGCTTAGTGTATACTGAGGATCAGAAAACTACCATAGAAAAGAAAAAGCTGTGCTTCTCCATCTTCCATTTACCCCTGTATTATTTGCCTTACTAGTTCTATTCATTATTCATGATCATCCTTTAAGGGACCTCTTTTGGGAAGTCTTTGTTCTTTACTCCAGCATTCCATGCTTAGTGGTAAACAGATAGTTTTGTTTTAAGCTTTCATGGACTCTCCCATTCTGACCTCTGAATGTCCTAAATTGATAATTCTAATTTTTAATCTGGCTTTGTGTGTCTTTGCTTTATGGCCTTATATCAAGTATGTGACCCATAGTGATGCTGAACATAATCCTTTAAAGGAGAATATACATATTCAAAATAATAAACAGTTCTCACATAATGATAAACCAGAGGGCAGAATTTGTTGTCCTATCATCTTTGCTAATAATAAATAATTATTGAATGAAACAGTGAAATTCTTTTTTTTTTTTTTACAGGCAGAGTGGATAGTGAGAGAGAGAGACAGAGGGAAAGGTCTTCCTTTTGCCGTTGGTTCACCCTCCAATGGCCGCCGCGGCTGGCACGCTGCGGCTAGCGCACCGCGCTGATCCGAAGGCAGGAGCCAGGTGCTTCTCCTGGTCTCCCATGGGGTGCAGGGCCCAAGCACTTGGGCCATCCTCCACTGCCTTCCTGGGCCACAGCAGAGAGCTGGCCTGGAAGAGGGGCACCGGGACAGAATCTGGCGCCCCGACCGGGACTAGAACCCGGTGTGCCTGCGCCGCTAGGTGGAGGATTAGCCTATTGAGCCGCGGCGCCGGCAACAGTGAAATTCTTGACATCAAATATGTTACAATTTGAATTTTTAATATAGTACCTAGACAAAACATGAAAGAAACATTCTTGTGATTGAAGAAATACATTAATTGGGGGCCAGCACTGTGGCGCAGCGAGTTAACGCCCTGGCCTGAGGCACCGGCATCCCATATGAGCGCCAGTTCTAGTTCCAGCTGCTCCACTTCTGACCCAGCTCTCTGCTATGGCCTGGGATAGAAGTAGAAGATGGCCCAAGTCTCTGGGCCCCTGCACTCACGTGGGAGACCCAGAAGAAGCTCCTGGCTCCTGGCTTCAGATGGGCACAGTTCTGACAGTTGTAGCCAATTGGGGAATGAACCTCAAATGGAAGACCTCTCTCTCTATCTGTCCTCTTTCTGTGTAACTCTGGCTCTCAAGTAAAAAGTAAATAATTCTTTAAAAAAAAAGAAATACATTAGTTGGTCCAGGAAAATATGGCCTCTTGAAAACAATATTTCACTTTCCATTAAAGATAATAGAATGTTTGAAAATATTCATAATCCCTGCCTTCTCTACATTTCATCTTGGATTTCCTATTGAGCTAGGTTCACTTAATAGACTAAATGCATGCAATTGAAACTTGGGGTCAATTCATAGATAGCCCCTCATGTTTTTTGATTCTTCAATCTCACTAACTCTTCCTGCAGGACAAACTACCTAGACAACCAGACAACAAGAAAACGTTATTAAGGGCAGACGTGGCATTGTGCCTGGGATGCCAGCATCTGATATGGGCACCAGTTCAAGTCCCAGTTGTTCCACATCCTATCCATCCCCCTGCTAATGCACAGCGGAAAGTAGCAGAGGACAGCCCAGATGTTTGGCCCTTACACTCATGTGGGAGACTTGGAAGAAATCCTGGCTCCTGGCTTCAGCCTGATCCAGCCTCAGGCCATTAACAACCATTTGGGAAGTGAACCAGAAAATGGAATATCTCTTTCTCTATCTCTTCCTCTGTCTCCAACTCTTAAAGTAAATAATATTTTTTAAAAAGAAAACTTTATTCTTTAGCAAAAACAGTACATTTTAAGAAACATAGCATTTGTCAGTACTTTATTGAAAACTATAGTTCTCATTTTCTGAGTCTACATGTCCATTTATAAAATTGGATACACACCCATACAAAACAGCTGTTAGAATTTAATTGAAATTATACAAGATCTGAAATTTTATCTTCCCTGATCTATCTTTGAAGATGTCTAACTCAGTGGCTATACCCAGGAAGGTTTTTCTAATATCACTGTGAGTCACTATACCAATTCTTGGAATAATGTAGACCTAAAATTAGTCTTCTGCAGCCCAGGAATATTTTCCAGGTGTCCAGTCCATCTTAACACAGTGTTTATTTTCCCAGCTTCAGGACTACCCTGCCTTTGGCCATCACTTCCTGTACTTCCCGCCATATAAAGGACTTTCAGGCTGAGAAGTTCCCATATCTCTTACCTTGGATGTTATCTCTACTTATGCATTTTTCATATCGCATCGGTGATATGACCCTTCCCTGACTCATTGGCTAGACAGAAACATTGTTGCTGTAAACATTTTCTTTTTTTAAAAAAGATTTATTTATTTATTTGAATTGCAGAGTTATAAAGAAGCAGAGCCAGAGAGAGAGAAAGTGGGAGAGAGAAAGAGAGAAAGAGAGAGAGAGAGAAAGAGAGAAAGAGAGAGAGAGAGAGAGAGGTGTCTTCCAACCACTGGTTCACTCCCCAATTGGCCACACTGGCCAGAGCTGTGCTGATCTGAAGCCAGAAGCCAGGAGCCTCCTCCCAGTCTCCCATACAGGTGCAGGGTCCCAAGGACTTGGGCCATCTTCTACTGCTTTCCCAGGTCATAGCAGAGAGTTGGATCAGAAGTGGAGCAGCCAGGACTCAAACTGGCACCCATATGGGATGCTGGCACTGCATGCAGCAGCTTTACCCACTATACCACAATACCAGCCCCTCTAAACATTTTCTGTTATCCAAGCACTGGACCAACAATCATCTTGTTCTCAATTCTAACCATGTACACGCATGTGCCCCTTCCATTTAGCTCGTAGAGAACTAGGCACTGATTAACTCTACAGCCTAGGTGCCAGCAGTAGCCTTGGGGAGAGGGCTCAGAAGTTTATTGAAAGGTCAAATCTCTGGAATATGATTGCAAACTATAATCCTCACCGAAACCAACACATGAACAACACAAGTGAAAACAAAGACTCCAAACACAAGAAATATTATGTAATGGAACAGACTAAAGTAGTGAGCTGCACATCACAGTCAGACTGTAGGAGCCTTGCTATGTAGAGCCTCTGAGTGAAACATGAAGATGAGGGAAAGTTTTTGCAGTAGAATGGTCTTGAAGAGTAGAAATAAATCCAGCTTATCTTTAATACTGCTATGCCCTGAATGCCACAAACTCAATGCTGACCATTGCTTCTTAAAGAGCTGAAGAAAAAGCCTGAAGATTTATGGTACTTACACTTTCCCCTCTCCTCCACCAATGCCTGATCTGAAATGCTCCCTTCCTGGCTTGCTTGTATAAATCCACCTTTCTTCTGATGACAGTCCAAGTTCAAGCTGTGACCAACTCCTCCTTTCTCCAGCTTTGGCAACATCTAATTGGCCGTAATTTTCATGATCTTGAGAGCATTTTGAGAGTATTTTTTCTTCATTTACTTTTATTCTTGCTTAGCATTGCTTACTGTGTTATTAGTCTTTTCAAGTGCAAAATATTGGGTCTGGCTGGTTGTCCCTTTTTTATTATTTTAATTTCACTAAACCTGTTACTACTAAACCTGTTACTATTGCCAATCCAGTGACCTCATTTTATCCTTTCTTTGACTTAACCTCTCCAAAATATTTAAGTATGACTATATGCTCTCTTATTTTTTGGATTGAAGTAAATATACATACTGTAAAGTGTGAAAATATTAGGTTATACAGCTTGATAATTTTTTATGATGTGAACACATGAATGAGCATACCCATGTAGCCACTATCCAGATCAAGATACAAATACACTTGCTTCCAAGTTGTTGAGTTGCTTTGTTTTCTCCAAGAAGCCCTGGAAAAAAATTCAAAGACATAATTCCAGCCCCAAAACTGCCTCTGCCCTCAACCCTGCAGATATATTTACATGAATAACTGGAGGACCAATCACAAAAACTAACTCATACATGTCACTGAACTCAATAACAAAATCATAGAATATGTGAGGCTTTATCATGACTATTTAAATGATAGGGAATGCATAATTCAAATCATCATAAAGGTAAAAGAACATACACATAATTATTTTGTATAGGGCTTTCTGTTTATGATGACCATTTACTCCTACCTCCAGCAAACATGCTCTCTTGATCAGCTCTACCCATTGGTTTCTTTTCTTATAAATCCTCTTGGTCCCTGAAAACTGTCTCTTCACCATCCCAAGGTTTAATCTACCCTTTTCTCTGCTTTGAACCAAAGTAGTCACATATTCTCAGTCTACCGCCTACCTCCCACATCTTCCCATCATTTCTGGAGAAGGTCTTGGTATCAGCAGCTCCCACCACTCCTGGCCATCCCTTTATAGTAGAGTTCAAGCTTATTACTTCCTTCCTGGAGTTACCCTGGCCTTGAAACTGCTTCAGCCCAACACCTGAGTCCCTATTCAATTATCCGCACCTCTGAAGTTCTCTCTATTCAATATTTTCTAATGGTCTGTACCTGGTAGTCCACATTTCTTTCTCTCCAAAGATAGAGAATTGTCTAGGACTCTTAAGGAGGAGCAGAGAGATTCACAGATCACAGATGAACAACACACACAGTAATGATGAGGAGTATTACCCTTTTCTGAGAGATCCCATGAGGAGCCCTCTTTCCCCTGTGGATACTCTGTCATCCTGCCTTTTCCCTGGACATCCTGACACCCCATGGCCTTTTGCCCAGGGAAATAGGTAGCTCCTCCAAAGACTGACTTTGTTTTGTGCTCTGTACCCTGGGGCTCTCCAGGTTGCAGGAGGAGACAGATTCTCAGTGGCTGATGAGCCATGTTTTCTCCATGTTCTCAGAAGACACCTGAAAGAGGGAAACAAAAGGCCCAAGATTGGTTGGATTT